TACTTACAAGGTAAGTATTACCTTGTAAGTATAAATAATAACACTGCAAAAGTCAAATAATTGCGTAATAATCTGCTACGAAATAAGAAATATTTGAACACGTCACTTGGTGGCACCAACCGGTCTGAGTCGCCGTTCGTAAATACAAAACATCCGGGTGTCTCTGTGTGCATGGAGATTCGGGTGCTTCGTCGCTCGGTTCGGAGTGGGTAAGTAGTTTCCATCTTGCCCTCCCTTCCCCTACATATTTATATATTGACTGTGTCATTACTTAGAGGAGTCTTTTAGCTTTGGAATAAAAGGTTTCTACGTTCTATCTTTATTAGAACTCTACTTATTGAATCTTTTATTGAATTTCCGGGTCTCTTTCGGTACAACTCCAACTCGGAGTTGGAGTCGGATGGTAAGGAAGAGTCGGAGTCGGTAGATTTTTACGCGACTCCACAGCCCTGGGATAAAGTGAGAAATACTGTATTTAATATAAGGAGCACTTTTTTTACCAATTTTTCGGCACTGTAAAAATGCCACGAGTCATACATTCGAGTAATGTTTTCCACAACATTTTAAAGATGCGGTGCCATTCATAGGTACAGTACTGTACTCTACTTCTGCCTCTGTCATTTCGAATATTCTGTCACAAGGAAGTAATTTTCAAGCCATTTTTACTTAATTGTCAAAGTTTAACAGAATATTCCGTCAAGTAATGTTTGATCGATACTGTGAAATGAGCCGAGAGTCATAAATTACCAGTTAAGATTAATTTTCTCACAAGTCGAATATTTCAGCCATATCTGCACAAAGAAACACTAGGCGCAACCTCGAGTCATTTACCCTGCATCAAACATTTCATCAATTTTAGCTTAGATTAGCATTGGCAATAACAATATGGAATCTCAAAAGGTATCGGAAGTTCGTGCTACACGAGCAAATCAGATTTCGTCCGGTGTTCTGAAGTGTTATGACGCAAAATTTAAACTTTTCGTCATCAAATATAACGTTTTAAACTTTTTTCCTCTGAAGACAGGCTAAAAAAAGGATGTGCGCCTTATATTCGAGCAATCATTTATTCCTGAAAATGGCTTCCAAAAATAGGGATGCATCTTATATTCAGATAAATACTGTATGTTTTTTTTAAAAAATAATTTACTTTTGACAAAAATTATACGTAAATTCATAATGATATTACCGTCGTAATCGAATTTTTCTCATTTCATTATTCTATTAAATGATTATCCTGTGTAATAATTATATATTAGACTAATGGGATAATAAATTATAATACTTTTTTTCGGAAGAAAAGGAAGAAATTATATTTTAACTTATAGAAAAATCATCCGAAAACTTGCTTTTGCATATTTATCTGAAAAATAAAAACATATTACAATAATATTTAAAGCATTGTCTCGTATAGTCGACTCCCCTATAACACTGTTGAATATTCCATTTTATGTGAATTCCATGTTGTACGAGTCACTTAGATTTTACAAATACGTGTACCGGGCTGTGAACGGCTCACGTATTTGTAAAATCTAAGTAACTCGTACAACATGGAATTCATATAACACGGAATAATCAACAGTGTTATAGGTGGTCGACTGTACTTTACTCCGTGATATGTTATTTTAGAATAAAATTATGTCTTTTCTTAGAAGGAAACGAATTATTATTTTATAATGTTTGAAGAATTTAAAGGATTATGCTAAATTCTTTTAGATTAAAAAAAAATTATATTTTGTAAAATTTGATCCATAAAACAATTCATAGACGTATAATTAGACATTATTAAATCATCTATTTTATTATTTCTGTTTTAACAGCGCGCAATTTCTTCCATATTTTGTAATACTTTTATTTAAGGTATGTATAATTTGAAATTTACTTAATCTAAAAGTAAGAAAATTCAGTTGAAATATTAAAATTTTTTTTTTATATATTAAAATTTAACAAAGATATTCTATTAATTGTAATTAATAAAAATATATTAATAGATTCTAAAAGAACTTTAATGTTTACATCCGTGTGATTATTTATTAATATATAATACATTAATGATCTGAATAGATCTAATTGTAATGAAATCAATAACTCCGGATGCATTATAACCAAACCCTATACGTTTAACTGTAACAAAACAAGATCGTTGTCTGCAATATATGTTATTGTTACTAGTTATTATATTCTAGAAATGTGCATCAACGTATGAAAACTTTAGTGCTTTTCGATAGAGATTTTAAACATTGTTTGCTAATCCTTTTTCCCATCTGGAATTTACTATGAGATTTCGAAGGGTATGAACTCTTGTTCCTTTTAATGGATGCGTAACACGCTTCCTCCTCCATTGGAATAGTTTGATAATTCGATTAAAAGAAACTTCTTAGAATTTGAATTATATAATTATTCTCATAAATATTAATTAAAATATATATCGAAGCACATTTGATAATTATTTTTATGTTAAAAAATTTTATATTAATTAATATTAGATAATTAGCAAACTATTTTAACCATAGATAAACTTTTACTAATGGTAATTTAATATAGGAATGAATAAAAATGACAGAAAAAAAAACATATGTAATAATTTAATTTTTAACAAAATTTCTTACGTTACAGTCAGAGTTCACCTTCTTTTAAAGTATAATTTTTTTTAAATGAATGATTGTATATTTCTAGTGTGTCATCTGTATCAGCGCCAAAGCAACAATGCAGACATTTCCATGCGGTCATAAAGTAGTCTGTCGTAAGTGTTTCGTCCGAACCATCCAAATGGCAGTTTCGCAGAGAGTTCTGCCTCTCAGGTGTGTTATATGCAGAGCAAAAATACTTCGACTCAAACAGTCCGCTCCAGGTAAAGTCCATCATCTTCCGTCCTCCGCTATCTACAAGAATGCGCGCCCTATAGCATCGGTACTTCAAGAGACGAAAGATTTACCGGAGGCCATGTTGGATATTGCTAACAGTCCTATATTGCCACCTACTAAGTTCTGTCGTCAGAAACTTTGGAATAATAAAGTAGCAGATATACCTCAACCCATATCTCCGGCTGCTCCTACAGTCGAACGCCAAGTATACAGTAGATCAAATAGATACAGTCAAGCTGCTCCTGCTTACGTTCACCAGAAACGACATCACCACAATAGGCAACCCATCAGGAAACCATCTGCGCTTCTTCCCATACCAGAATTGGAAGAATTCGATCTGTTAGAAAGTAAAGTCGCAAATCGTATCACNTTTTTTTTTTTTAATTTTATAATTCAGAAATTTAGAAACTTCTTTAATTAAGTCAGTATCGTCGGGGTCCAACAAGTCGTTAAGTCACAGAATTTAATTGATTAATTCGAAATTTTTGACAATATTAGATAGATGTAACTATATAAATTTTCGGTAAAGTGGTCCTGATACGAATAAATTTAATTATTATTACATTATATAAAGGTAAATTAACTAAAATAAAATTATTAATTGAAGGAAAATAAACTTAGATTTTGATAGGAACCATAACAATTATCTGATATTTTATATGGAAGGCAGTTATAAAAGTGAAATGTTATTAATATTTTATAAAGTTATAACGCTTATAAATTATATATTTATTGTATTGGCAATGTTTAGCTATAACTTTTGTAGGAGATTTGGAGCCAAACTTTAAGAAAAAAAAAAAAAAATTCTATTATTTCTTCCAAATGACCTCTTACAGTATTCTTTGGTAGTAAAGAAGTTACTAATAAAAAGGAAATAGTTAATAATAAAGATATAAAAACATTTTATATAAAATTTCAGAGGCTAGTTATTGCCAGAGGGTCAGGAATGAACAGTTGTCTGTGACCACGTTACTTAGTTTAAATGTTAGCAAAGGAATTCGATCGATTTTGATTAGATTGAAATTACACATTCTTAAAAATTTTAATTACAATACTTGTATATGAAAATTACTGATTAAGTATAGGTCTATTCATTAATTTACTACTGTATATGCCATTGTAGCTACATTATATTAATAACTTATGTAGCAAATAAAAATGTATATAATTGTTAAATAAATAATTTGATTATATAAATTGTATAACTGAATATAAAAACCCTATTATTAATTAATTGTTATACAATTCTCACATGAAAAATATTGATTAATTATAAAGAAAACTGTTATAAAAGTATACAAGGTAATAGCTTTAACAGTTTTATATCCTTTAAAAAAAAAAAAAGTATTTGTAAAAAGAAAAACTATTGATTAACTATAGATATATTATTAAATGAATAAAATAGTCGATTAATTGTATTTTTTACTGGATAATATTATTAATTATTCAACAAGTTTCTCGTGTAATAAAATAAACACGTATTATGAATAAAAGTGGAAGTTTTTACCATAGAAATTTTATTCAAAACAGTAAATAACACGAATTAAGATAGTGAAAAGCCTGTATTTTATAAAGCTTTTGTTAGTTACCTTAACAATAGTTATAAATAAATAATCTATTCGTTAGTATCGATCAACAGTTTTTAAAAAATATATATATACTCTTTTACGTTACGTGCTTACATTACGAATATTTTTATTACAATGTTTTTATATTCAAAATATATTTTTAAAAACTTCCGAAATAAAATTCTTTTATTTATTACATAAAATAGATCATAATTTATTAACATTTGAAACAAATAATAGTAGATTTTGACATAAAATATTCAGTTTTAGTGATTAATATAAAATGCATAACTATGTTCTTATACATGATTATTATTTTTATATAAGGCACGAATTAAATTCTCTATAAAAATAAGGAATACATACAAATTTTTTTAACTTTTTACTAGTATAAATTGAGATTTTTTTATGTTTAATACAAAGCAAATGTTAGAAAAATAACTTTATAATTAAAGAAAAAACAGAAGACAGAATTCAAATTTAGTCATATTTTGTTATCTTAATAGTTCGTGTGCTTAACATATGTTTACAAAACTATTAAGTTTAAGCAAATAATATTACTATATATCAATAATTATATACAAATAGTTGAGAAATAGAATTAAAATATTTATCACTTATTCCAAATAAATGTTATAATATTCTAGTTTACTGTTAATATTAAATCCGCATTCCTTACATCATTAATTGTTCATCAATAACATTATACAACTCGGCAATTTCTTTGTAATTGTCCGACGAAATTCAACCTATTCCTCGTCATTTTACCAGTGATGACCGTGGTGATGACGGTGATGATGGTGATGGTGATGATGACGATTATCGTGCGTCAAAGAATCTATCACCGCTTCTGTTGCCATACCTAATGCAACACCAGCTGCAAATCCTCCTCCTCCTCCTCTATGATTCTAAAGAACAAAATTTAATTAATAAATTGAAAGTTGAACACAAATATTTGTTTATATTACCTCTCTTTCTTCTACGATTACAGTTGTTGTGGGAGCCGAAGGAGGTACATAAACAGGTGGGGGTGGAGGTTGGACAACTCTTTCTGTTACCGTAATAGTCTCTCCACAGCGATTCTCTTGTATAACCACATCAGTCCTAGTTACTGGAGGATACGCTGGATAACCAACAGGGGGATTTGTGTAAGCAGGTTGAGCAGGGTAAGTTGTAGGATAAGAGGGTTGACCATAAGCAGGTGGATAATTATTGGCAGGATAGCCTCCCGGATAATTAGGATCTAAATGAAACAATCTCTCGGATCAATACTACGAAAATGCTAGAACACAACACTCTTACAAAAGCGCTGTTATAGGTAAATAATATTAAATACAACCAAATTAAACTAAATTTACAAACATTATTAATTATATAAAGAATTACGAGTAATTAATTAAATTAAATTAATTTACGACTATAAACGAAACAGTTAAAATCACTCACAACTCATATCGAGATCGTCGTTAAACTAATACTTATTGTTGCGTTATTCCTTTGAAATTTATACTGACGAGTTTCACAATAATTTGTTAATATTCTCATATCATTCTTATGCAATTCTTTTATATTTATACATATATTTTGATACGTAGATGACTCACCAATTGCTGAATAATATATAAAAAATAACAACACACATAATCATGTGACAAATATTATCGAAATTTATCTCAAGTATTAAGATAAAAGTAAGATTTGATTCAATTAACGAGAGTATTTTTAGTGAATTTTTAATGAATATGCCTTCCATTTTATTATTTTTAAAGTTATGAAACAGTTTATATTGTATTTACACTGAACTTCAAGAAGAATTTGCAGAATATGTTACAAGTATGTTTTCGTATCTTATTATTAAACCCAAAAATATTACTGATAAAATTTTTTATCATCATTTATATCTTTATTATCTATATGTAAAGATAAACTGATTTATATACTCCTTGGCATTAATTTAGTATTTTCTTTTCTTAATTTTATGTAGTTTTACTTATGGACCTACGTCCTATTTTTCAGTTTTTACATTGTTATTATTGTTTCTTCATATAATAATTGTTGAAAATAAAGTTACATTAGGACATTTATTTCTAATAATTATAATAAATGTAAAGC